AAAGACTGGGATGATCCTAAACTAGCAACCCTAGTACGTATTTTGTGTATATTATGTATATATGTAACTGGCAGGAAGGAAAGTCTATATCACAGAGTGAATTTAACAGTAAAAGGAAGGTATCCTGAAAACAGGAACAATGTGTGAGACAATAAACTACAATGGAGATTAACAAAACTCTAATACAGGGGTCGGCAACCTATGGCCTGCAGGCCGCACCCAGCCCTCCGGCCACTGCCACCGCTACTCCGCGCGCTCCGCCACTGCACGTGCATGTCGCGACCGTCATTTTGTTTGTCAAAATGGCAGCCGTGACTCGTTTGCGCATACGCAGTACTCCTGCGCGTGTGCGAACGAGCCTGGCATCGTCGGCGCGCGTGGCGTCGCCGGCGCAGCAGTGGTGGGGGTTGGCGGGGGCCTTGAGCGCGCATGCTGCCATTTCCCCCCCCCTCCCGGCCCGCTAGAAGACCTGGGGACCAGTGACCAGCCCCAGGTAAAAAATCTTTGCCAACCCCTGCTCTAATAAATATTGCGGAGACCCAGCCACACCCAATACTTTTAGCCTAGTGTTCAATCTGCATAACATTACCTGTGAGATAATAACTGTTTGTAGCAACTAACCCACATCACTATTCATGCCAAAAAAATTTATGTCACATCTGATAATGAACTCCAGTTCAGCAGTGTCATACTCTGTCCAGTGCTACCTAACATATGATGTTTGTTTTGGGATAGTGACCTTGCCAACCCCTAACACAATTAATTTGTAAGACACAGCTGGCCCATTCTTAGTTCTTGAATGTACAACAAGCTCTGAGTTAAGTCCAATGAACTATTAGAGTTTTTGTTCAAACAGAGCTGATTTGTATTCTCTGCTTGCTTTTTATATTGCATAGTTTGAAGAGAGTCAGTTCTGTGTAAACATACAATAATAAGAGGTGCTCTGGGATCTTTTAGACATTTTCTTAATTCTTTATAAAATATCTTTCAAAGTGAATCCCTTTCTAGGAAGTGTGGTTTCTGGAATATCTCTGGAAACAGCTCTGTGTAATCACATAACATTTCCAGGGGCTTTAAGGGACGAAAAGGGTTATAAATCTGCATCAATAGAAGTATGGTGTCTAGATCAAAGGAAATAATAGTGCCACTCTGTTCTGCTTTGGTCAGGCCCCACCTGGAGTACTGTGTCCAGTTCTGGGCACCACAATTCAAAAGGGATGTTGAGAAGCTGGAGAGTGTCCAGAGGAGGGCCACCAAAATGATAAAGGGTCTGGAAACCATGCCTTCTGAGGAAAGACTTAGGGAGCTGGGTATGTTTAGCCTGCAGAAGAGACGATTAAGAGGTGATATGATATCCCTGTTTAAGTATTTGAAGGGGTGTCATATTGAGGATGGAGCAAGCTTGTTTTCTGCTGCTCCAGAGACTAGAACACGGAAGAATGGATGCAAGCTACAGGAAAAGGGATTCCAGCTCAATATTAGGAGAAACTTCCTGACAGTAAGAGCTGTTTGACAGTGGAACACAGTCCCTCAAAGAGTGGTGGAGTCTCCTTCTTTGGAGGTCTTTAAACAGAGGCTGGATGTTCATCTGTCAGGAGTGTTTTGATTGTGTTCCTACATGGTAGGTGGGTTGGACTGGATCGGCCTTGTAGTCTGTTCCAACTCTATGATTCTATCAGTCTATGAAAAATAAATTGCAGTTTCCTTTGGCATATGGGGCAACCATCTTTCTTTGCTTTTGTAGAACCCCCTGGAAATGAAATGCTGTGATCCTGTAGTGTAAAGTTATATTCCAGTGACAATTTCAGTCATGTATTGATATTGTATGGGAAGAGTTACACTTCCTACCCTCTGAGAGTGTCTTTGCCATTAAAAAAGCAAAATTGAGGAAAATTACTTTTTTGGTCTGTTGTTACCAGTATCCAGGATCTCCAGTTGTAAACTTAAAAAGTAACTTTAAAAGTAAAGAATATGGGGTTGCTGTTGTTTTTTAAACCATTGGACAACCTTGAATTAATAAATTCATTATTACTTTGAAATTTCCGAACAACTTTCATTCAAACTCAAAGCACAAGATTTCTTGCTTGGCAAGCAGATATTGAATTATAAGTTAAGTTCTCCCATCCCTACTTCAGGAAGGCAAAGAAGCTGCATTAAAAGTATTTAAAAATACTAATTAAGGAAAAATATTTCAAAAATCTATATAATGCCAAGGAATGTAAATCTTTGCTTATTTTGCTCTCTCACAGAAAGAATTCAAAAACTTTTCTCCTCATTGGGCAAGATTATGAGAGGTTTTCTTGTGCTTTTTTGGCATTTTTGGCACCCTCTTTTTTAAAAAAATAATTTGCACAAAAAGCCTCACTGGATTCTGCAGAAAATACAGTTTTCTATGTAAAATCATTCACGGTACCAAACAAACAAAGCATGAACCACTATTTGTGCAGAAAGAAAAAGGCCTTTGCACGAATTTTAAAGAAAACTTTCCCATATTACTAAAAAACCCAAAAAAAACCAGCCCCCAACCACCACCACCCCAAAAGAATCTTGTAGTAGTTCATCATTTTCTCAGCAAGTTGTTTTAATGCAGGGGTAGGCAACCTAACCGGATGCGGGCCCCCGAGGCCTTTGGACTGGCCCCAGGCCGGTACTGCCACCGCCACCCCTCACCACCGCCGCCCGCCATGATGATATTGATTATTGTTGTTATTACTTGTTGTTGGGTTTTTCTTGGCAAAATCTCCACAGGGGTTTTGCCATGGCTTTTCTGGGGCTGAGAGAGTGTGCATGCATATTTTTTTATTTTTTTAAAAATATATTTATTTATTTATTTATTTATTTATTTGTTTGTTTGTTTGTGGTGCTTCATCCCCCCAATTGTCTGAGGGACAGCAACCCGGACCCTGGCTCAAAAAGGTTGCCTACCCCTGTTTTAATGCATCAAAGCTACAGATGTTGGAGAAATCCAAATGGCATCCATTTGACATCCAAATTCTGATGTTTGGAAACACCAGGTGCTACGTAGAGTCAAACTTATGGAAGCCTGTGGAATTCATGGGCAAATGGAAAGTCTCACCTATCAGCAAAACCTATGCTGTGCATTTGAGAATTTTCTTATTTTCTTGTGGAGTCCACTACCTCCAAATGCACTAAAACGTGGAGGTTTAGCTTAATTCTCCATGCAGCCCTGTCCCCCCCCAATCTGGACAAATGTTTAAAATCAGCCAAAAACAAATATACTATAAATCAAAACCAGAACGTGTTGGCTGGAGACACAGGGGAGAATATATGTTCCTCACACAGTTGCCCATCCCTGCTGTACATCTAAGACTGCATCTGCACTGCAGAAATGATGCGGTTTGATGGCACTTTAAAAGTCATGGCTCAGTGCTATGGTATCCTGGGATATGTAGTTTGTTGTACCATCAGAGATCTCTAACAGAGAAGCTAAATATCTCAAATCCCAGTATCCCATAGCATTCAGCCATGGCTGTTAAAGTGCTGTCAACCTGCATTATTTCTGTAGTGCAGATGCAGCCTGAGACAAGGATTAATCCAAAATTAGTACCCAGTTCTGAGAGAAAGGTGAGATATTAGTCAAATAAATGAATCAGTCTTGAATGTCAGGAAAATTAAATAGCCCTAGAATGTAGGAGGGCTCTCAGTAATTTTGCCTTTGACAGTGGAACAAGCTATCTGTAGAGGTGGTGAGATTTCTTTTGCTGGAGATATTTAAGAGACAGAAATCAGCTGGAGATATTTAAGAGACAGCAATACAGGGCATTGCAGCTGTATCCTGTGTCACAGACCTTGCACTGAACATGCGGTTGGACTACATGGCCTCAAAGAATACTTCTCCCATCATTTATTTATTTTTTTGCCCTTTCAGAATCTGTCTTCCTGGTCACCACAAAATCAAATGCCACCTCTAGACATTGGGATCAAAATTGCCAGGTTAGGGAATTAATGCTCTTTTAAAATAAAAACCCAGTCACTAGTGTGGTGTGAGATATCAGTGTACATTACTTTGCATTGCTTTTCCCTCCCTCTGTTGGTTTCCTCCAGAAGTTTACAAAAACAATTACAACACACAAAATAAAACCAGAATCTCAGAGCCACATGAAACAACTAATTAAGACCAGTTGGGGGCCTGTAAATGCTTGCCTAAATGAGAAGGTTTTTGCCAAATTCCTGAATGAGACAAGCATAGGAGTACGTTTGCCCCCCATCTTGGGTATCTGGGCTACAGAGGGGGATCCTAGCATTTGTTGCCTTTAAACCTATTCAGAAGTCTTAAAGACTTCAAGATTTGTGAAAATGCTGTGCCAAAGCAATGTGTATAGGCCTTCAAGTTATCAACTTATTGCAATCCCATGAATTTCATAGGATTTTCTTAGGCAAAGAGTACTCAGAGATAGTTTTGACAGTTCTTTCCTCTGAAATATAGGCTACAGCACCTGGTATTCATTGGTGGGCTTCTCTTTTACACATGTTCTCTCCTTCTTTGAATGGTTGAACTTTGACTTTGGCTGCAATTCCTTTTCGCTCCTGAATTAGTTGGCATTTACCAGCATAACATGCCACCAGAAGTAGTGGTTGCAAGAATATTGTGAGAGCCTTTGTGGCTGAAAAACAGGGTATAAATACTCCAAATAAATAAATGCATAAATATTGTGGGGGGCACAGTGTTATAACTGAGTAGTAGAAATTGCTTTCCAGAACTCAGAAAAATTACTTTTTTGGACTAAAAGTCACAGAATCTTCCAGCTAGATGGCGCGTAGTGTGTACTATTCCTGTCAGCCATGAAGGGGGGTGGGGGAAGGAGTGCAGGCTAAATCTCTCGCCAGCAGGGGGGATTTGAAAAGAAAATCGCCAATATTAATCTTGTTGGGTTCCTTCAAGTTGTTGTGGACCTACAGTAACTCTAAGGTGAACCTATCATGGGGTCTTCTGGGGCTGAGAGCATGTGACTTGCCCAAGGTCACCCTGTGGGTTTCCATGGCCTAGCGGGGAACTGAACCCTGATCTCCAGAGTCATGGTCTGACAATCAACCCACTACACCACACTGCCTTTCAGTATAAATTCACAAGGAGCTTATGTGTTTGTGTGAGTCAGTGAGTGGAAGACCCATCTCAGCTTCCTTCCAAGCTTAAGGTCTTGCATAACACATCTAACTCCTTTATTTATTGCATTTTAGTTGGCCATCTTCAGCACAAACTATCACAGCCTGACCAAAAAAGGAGGTAAAAACCGTACTACCAGCTGATATAAGTCAATAAAGTAACTAAAGTCAATCAATAAGAATGAATAAATAAGTGAGACCCTAAATTCTCAAGTGGGTTTAAAGTGAGAGGGCAATGTCATCTTCACTTGTGTATGCCTGTGTGAGAGAACAAGGATATATGGGAGGCAGAAAGGAGAAAAATATTTTTGGCTGAGCTCTGGTTGAGCTTTGATTTTGGCACATGGTCCTAGAAGGTTATCCATGAGGGAACATGATCCTCAACGTGTATTGAGTTTTTCAACCTAATGTAATGCATGAAGGGGCCAGAAGAAGAAGGCAATATTATTTAGATCATGCTCAGGCAGCTGTAATAAGAATTCCACTGTGTAGATCATTAGATTAGATTCCAGCAGTACAAGCAAATGTACTGTATATATTCATGTACAAGTCTAGAAATTTTAGTGAAAAATGTGACCAAAAAAACTTGGGTTAACTTATCCACGAGTCAAAGTAAGTACCATACTGTACTTTAACTCTTTTTTTAAAAAAAAGAACCATCCCCTGTAAAAGGAAGGAGCTCAATCCCTCCTCGGAGGACCTAAAAAGAGCACTGACTTCCCCTGCTGTCTCATCCATCTAGCCTTTAGGATTAGCACAGTTATGCTTGCTGGATTTTTGCCAGTTCATTTGCATCATTTTCCTTTGCTTCGTCCTTCACATCCTTTGTTACATGCCCCAATTACCCTTGACACAGGTCATACCAAAATCCATAATTTTGGCCCCAAAAACCTGCCTTCGACTTATACATTAAGTCAACTTATAGTCGAGTATATACAGTAGTTTCCCACAGTGTTTCTAGACTGTGTAATTGACCAGAGGTGGCTTGTGGACTGAGCTGGAGGATGTAGACCTCACCCCAAAATGGTGGCAGTAGGTAACACTCCCCCTGCAGCTTGCAAACCACCCATGGGATTGACACAACCATGAATGTCTACGTGACTATCTTCCCATTTGAGATACCCTTGTAGCCCAGAGGTGTGGGATATCCCTCTTTGTACACACCAACACTCATGCACACATGGTTTGACCAATCCAAAAACTTCTTTTCTTCCTGTGTATTTTGGGGAATCCATATGTGCATTGCCTTGCACTGAATTAAAAGAGTTCAGGGTTGTGTTGGATTTGAAATGGAATCCTAGGTCATCTCACTTGAGGCCCGCTGAAACTCTGTCAAGAGCCAAGACCATTCCTATTTCTGTTATTTCAGGGAACATTATTGTCGCTTTTGTTTAAAGTATTTTTAGAAGTGTGTGCTATGAAACTTACTGGGTGACCTTGAGCAATTCACACTCTCTCAGCCTCAGAGGATGACAATGGCAAAGCCTCTCTGAAGAAACTTACCAAGAAAACCCATTCTAGGTTTGATTTAGGGTCAACATAAGTTGGAAACAATTTGAAGGTACACAACAACAACAACAACAACAACAACAATGTAGTCCAACTGGAACATTCAGTTAGGACTGGGGAATCCCTGATTCTATCCCACCCCCAGCCATGAAATTTATTGGATGAGATGACACTACTCACACACTTCCTGAACCTAATCGACCTCCTTGGATAGGGTTGTTATGCGGATGAAGTGGCGAGTGAAGAATGATGTGCACCCCTTTGAGATCCTTGGTAGAAAAGTGAAAAAGAAATGTAATGAACAAGGAAGTGTCCAGAGATCACAGTTGTGAGAGTTCCTGGGTACAGAAAAGGTCCTGTTTTTAATAGATTATCATATAGAAGTCAACACAGCTTTCCTATTTCAGTGGATTAATTTCAGTGTATTCACCAATAGCATCAACAACTGCACAAGGTGCATCTCTTCTCTTTCTGGCTATGCATTGTATTCTCTATGAGATGGATTCAGAATACATTAGTCTGCTTAAAGAAAAAGAAAAGAAAGAGCAGGCAGTTGTTTAATGAGAGACCCTGCTCACATTTTAACTTCCTACAAGGTGTGTCAAGCAGCTCTGTTAGCCCATTGTTGGAAGGATTTATATGTTCTAGGAAATGCTTTGGCATAGATATTGTTTTCTTGAAGTGGAAGAATTATAGGAACAGTTACTCAAGGCTCCTCTTTTCTGGCCACCAATGACCTCAGAACTGTATGCATCTCCACCCACCCCTAGCAAGACCCTATTGCTTTTAGTGAGAATTCAGTCTCTGAGAAGGGATAGAGTAACCAGAAGTGAGTCTAGGTGACTCACCAGAGAAGGGTGTAACTAGATGTGAGCTTGTGATGTTGTCATAACAACCCTAGGCAGGCTTCCAAATTCATGTTCTACTTGGGGCTCTCGTTCAACACTTTTCATACTCTGTCCTAGAGCAGGGGTAGGCAACCTTTTTGAGCCAGGGGCCGGATTGCTGTCCCTCAGACAATTGGGGGGGGGGAGCACCAAAAATAAATAAATAAATAAATATAAAAAGTGAAAAAAATATGCATGCACACTCTCTCAGCCCCAGAAAAGCCATGGCAAAACCCCTGTGGAGATTTTGCCAAGAAAACCCCAAGAACAAATAATAACAACAATAATCAATATCATGGTGGGGGGTGGCGGCAGCGGCAGGACCAGCCTGGGGCCGGTCCAAAGGCCTCAGCGGGCCGCATCCAGCCCCCGGGCCTTAGGTTGCCTACCCCTGTCCTAGAGAAACCCAAATACTGCCCTAGTAAAACCAGCTCAAAGTAGGTAAGTCAATAACATGCATGTAAGTCTTGTTTTCATAACATGGCTCAGGTAGCTTTCTTTTCATCTGAACATGACTTTTAAATGCAAATTTATCCATGAAGCCTTTGACACAAACCCTTAAGTCCCCCTATCCCTGGTATAATTATGCCTATTCATGCAGATGGAATGCTTGCATATTCGTCCTCTCTTTAGTCCTGTCTCCCCTTCCTATTTTGTCTCACTTGTATAATTTATAGATTATAAAACCTTGAAGAAAGGAACCTGTTATAAAACCTTGAAGAAAGGAACCTGTCCTCCCATTCATTGTAAAGCATTCTGTACATCAATGGCATTATGTAAATAATGTTTACTGAGTCAATGATTCCCTGCTAAAGATCAATAAGTCATCCATAAGAGAAGACTAGCAATTCCTTCAATCCCATACACAACACATTCATTGATTCTGTGTTTAAGCAATTTTCCCAGAAAGAATCAAACTTATATATCCTGATGCAGAGGCAAATTATGACCCTTGGCCTGCATGTATTTTCCCATTCAATTTTTGCATCCACCATCACAGAATATGCCATACTGCAGCAGTGAGTGTGTGTCTATGCCTTCAGGTCACCTGCCCACTTATGGCAATCCCATGAATTTCACAGGGCTTTCTTAGGCAAGGAATACAGTAGCCCCTCCCAATTCGTGGGTGATCTGTTCTAGACTCCCCTGTGAAAATGGCGGCTCGCAAATATTTGAGTCCCATCGAAAATGATGGTGCGCTTGCAGGGCCGCACACCACCATTTTATTCCTCCCCGCTTGTCCCTCCCACAAAGACCAAGACTGCAAACTCGAAGTCCGCAAACGAGGAGAGACACCTGTACAATGGGCTTTTGGTATCCACTGGGGTTTGGTTCCAAGACCCCATAGATGCTCAAGTCCCATTAAATACAGTGGTGTAGTAAAATGATGTTCCTTATATAAAATGGCAAAATCAAGGTTTGCTTCTTTGACTTTATATATATATTTAATATTTTCAAGCTGTGGATGGTTGAATCCTTGGAGGTCTTTAAGCAGAGGCTGGATGGCCATCTGTCGGGGATGCTTTGATTGGGAGTTCCTGCATGGCAGGGGGTTGGACTGGATGGCCCTTGTGGTCTCTTCCAACTCTATGATTCTATGATTCTATGAATCTATGGATAAGGTATCCATGGACACAGAGGGATGGCTGTACTCAGAGGTGGTTTTCCCAGTTTCTTCCTCTGAAATATAGCCTACAGCACCTGCTATATATTTGCAGTCTCCCATACAAGTACTAACCAGGAATGACTAACCAGCAGTATATTGGCATACAAAAGACAATCTCCTTCTTTAAAACAAGGCTCATGGGTAGTATGAACCTTGTTTTGAAGCCATCTTGCACTCTCTGGACTGGGATTTGTCTTTAAAGTCATGCATAACCTCCTTATATGCCTTGTTCTAAAGGGGAAATAACTAATTTTTACACTAGCAGTGGCAAGTTTGGTTATGGCAGGGTGAGTAAACTCACCCTGGAAATTTTC